ATCGTACAGGTCTCCGTACTCTAGGCATCGTAACCGATCGTAAAGGATGTCAAGAACCAAAATCCGCCAACGTTGATTCTTTACTGCGGCTGAAATATTCATTTTTAGAGCGTTAGTGACTTAAAAAAAGCAGTATTAAAATCGGAATGTCCAACTGATAAGGCTGAAAATTATTTCACTTGTTATTTACAGTAAGATAAATACATTCAGCAACTTTTATTAAAATAAAACCATTTAAACTGGGTGTTCGGTTTTATATGTCACTTAGTATACTATTTTTTTCAAGGAAAGCGGGACGCCACTGGTGCCGTTCGCAGAGACATCGCATAGGTGGGAATTTAGCAATTCAAATGGATCCACTTGTAATTCTGCTACGAGAAGATAAAAGATTGCGAAAACGCTTTTTTAATGGCGGCAGCCATTTTCGCAGTTCAGCAGCTTTGATTATCGGCGGTGGCAAACCTAACAATGTTTTCTATCATATTCCCGGTGTTTCAAGTTCGACTCTCACCTTCGGATCTCCGAAAAGGCAACAGATAGAAAGTCGCATAAGTGCGGCAAAATGGCGTATTTAAGTAGCTATCAAAATGTCGCTTGAAATTGAAAGTACAGAATTTCCTAGGTTGGCCTTGAAATTATCATATAGTCATAGATAATCATTCGTTTCTTATACCAGATCTATCCCATAATCAGTTTTATTTTTCATGACTTTATTTGAGATGGGATGTCAATACAAATTGCATGGTGTTATTGCCACTTTATTCGCTACAAGATAGTGTAGTATTTGTTCTTTCATATGGACACTATATTGGAATTTTGAGCAATTAAACGAACGACCTAAATTTAGCGATGTTGTTTGTTTAGCTGGCCTTGAATTTGTTTTGGGAACGAACATTATAAGGAAATAGAAACTTGTGGTGAAAGCTAAACACAAAATGGAAGTTTTATTGATGGTCATAACCATAATCATAAAAAAGAAGAGCAAATATTCAAAACGTCCATTATTTTGCAGGCAAAGCCTGACTCCACTCTGTAAATTGCTCGGCTTATTTCTTTTCTTCTTGGTCTTCCAGACTCTAAGCTCAGTTTGAGGTCTCCAAAGCTGTCAGATGCTGCCTGTGCATAAATTGACCATCTATATTATTTCTTATAATTTTCGTTCGAACAACAAATTCATGGCCAAGTAAGGAAATATACTAAGTGACATATAAATCCGAAAACCCAGTTTAAAGGGTTTTATTTTAATAAAATTTTGCATAAGTACTTAATGAAGCATAATAAGTAAATGATAAAAATTTCAAAATCATTGCACTGCTTTAAAGCCCTTTGACCTTTAATAATGTGTGGATGCACCCTGATGTGCTACGCATTCTCCAACGCGCCTAGGCATGCTTCTGATCAGGTGGTCAATGTCCTCCTGTGGTATCTCATTCCAGGCAACCACCAGCTCCTCTCGAAGTGCTTCTAGAGTCTGAGGAGGACGTTGCAAATTGAGCAATCTCCTACCCATCATATCGCACACGTGCTCTAATTGGGGATAAGTCGGGAGATCTTGGTGGCCATGGTAACAATGTGACATCATTATGTTGAAAGAAGTCTATTGTGACTGTTGCAACATGTGGTCGGGCATTATCTTGTTGGAAAGTTGGATCTGCCAGGGTGTCAAGATATAGGGTAAAAGATGGGGTTCTAGAACTTCGTGGATATAACGCTGCGCATTCATGTTACCTCTGATGAAGATTAAACGTGACCTGGAACCATAAGCTATAGCACCCCAAACCATAACTCCTTCAGTGTGATGAACATGTCTTTCAACAAAAAACTGTGGATTCCTCCTTTCACCACGTCGCCTTCTAACCCTGGCACGACCATCGTGCATGCCTAAGCAAAATCGAGACTCGTCACTAAAGACAATACTGTTCCATTCCTGATCCCAGAGTGACCGTTGTCTGCACCACTCAAGGTGATTACGTCGGGGTTCTCGAGTTAAAGGGAGGACCCAGTGTGGCCGGTATGAAAACAAGCCAAAACTTCGTCGGTAAACACTTCGCATGCCAATAGGTCTTCCGTGTTCTGCAAACCATTCATTTGCAATGGACCTGGTAGTGGAGAAACGGTCCCTTAAGGCCAATGATCTTAGGCGGCGATCTTCACGGTCTGTTGTTCTACGGCGGCGTCCAGTGCCCCTTGCTGTTTGCGTACGGCCTTCTCGAAGCCATGCCTGACAACACCTAACCACAGTGTCTACACTTCTTTGCACTCTAACTGCAATTGCCCGAAAAGAAAGTCCAGCTTTCCGAAGTCCCACTATACGGCCCCTATCAAAGTCACTAAGTTGACGAAACCGTACAGGTCTCCGTACTCTAGGCATCGCAACCGATCGTAAAGGATGTCAAGAATCAAAATCCGCGAACGTTGATTCTTTACTGCGGCTGAAATATTCATTTTTAGAGCGTTAGTGAATTAAAAAAAAGCAGTATAAAAACCGGAATGTCCAACTGATAAGGCTGAACATTTTTTCACTTGTTATTTACAGTAAGATAAATACATTCACCAACTTTTATTAAAATAAAATCATTTAAACTGGGTGTTCGGATTTATATGTCACTTAGTATACATAAGTGAATTTAGAACTTAAAGCTCCATTTAAATATACGAAATTCCAAAATAGCGTGAAATAACAAAGTTGTTGATGGAAGTGGAAAGAAGATACCTCGAATTAAAAATTTGACTACCCCATCCTGTAGAGCAGGAAACAATTTAGTATTTGTAATAATAACTGTAATAGCAACATGCATCGTATTTTGAATTCCGACCTCAAAAAAGCCAGGAAAAAATAAAAATGATTTGGCGATAAATCTGGTATATGGAACAAATCTGATAATTTCAGGGCCTACCTAGAATTTTTCTTTATTTTTTAAATAACTAAGGTTTGGCAATATCAATGTATGACCTATCATACATTTTTGGAATGAGAATTAAGAACTCTATTTACCTGTGCAAAAGAAAAAACTCTCACCATTTCCGAGGGTCAAATTTGAAGCACTCGGTATAGTGTGGTGGAAGCTTTACAGTAAGTACGGTATATACATATTTATGTCTATCCGCAGCTGTAGTGTAGCTGCGAGAAATAATCCCAGCTGGTCCGTGCATGGCTGCCGCAAGCTGCAACCGGCAATAGCTTCAGCCTACACTAACGTCTGGGATTAAAATGCATTAGGCATGAACAGGAGGAAAATGGAAAAACTTCCAGCTGCTAGCTACTCCTAGATGCCGAGCGTACTATGCAGGGTAATCCATGTTTGTAACACACGTAATGCTAGTGCTCGGCTGTCGATGTTACTGCTCTCCTACAGTGTGCTTGAAAAGTTTCCGATACCCACTACCTCTGAAAATACACCTCGAACAAAAACTCTTCAAGACAAAAATTCCTATTCCGAGAGCTTGACGGTGACCTTGACTATGACCTTACCACGACTCTTAATTTCATTTAGAGACCAACTTGGAAAATTTCCATATTTCATGGTTTTGTGACCGCACGAATGGAAAAAGCGGAAAAGTTTGCGTTTGGAGATGACCTAGACTATGACTTTTCAAGGACGCTCCTTGGTGAACTTGCAAACCGGAATCGTATCTTTTTGATCCCACCAGTGGAAAGAGTGGAAGTTATGACTTTCGCATGTGACCTTGACCGTCAATATGGGCGTGACCTTAACTGGAAACTATTTTTAAGAATCGTACGTATTTGTCTTCTTGGATAAAAAGAGCTGACAATGTTTACGTTCAGAAATAACTCTGACATTGACCATAATCGTGAAGGTCATTCAGAGGCCAACTTGAAAATTTAAATGAAACCGTAATGTATGGACCGCAGGTGCGATGTGTGTTAGCCTGACCTTGAAATTATTCGATATCTAAATCAGCTTGAGGTCATGGTCAAGGTCACTTGTAAACATGAACAATTTTCCGCTCTTTTTATCCAAGAAGTCAAGATATACGATTCCTCATGATAATATTATCCAGTTGACTTCACAGTGACCTTGAAGATCAAAGTCGAGATCACGTTCAAGGTTGAGGCTAAGGCCACTTGTAAACATAAACATTTTCCGCTTTTTGCATTCAAGGAGTCGAAGATATACGATTCTTTATTAAATATTTTTCAGTTGATTCCTAAGTGACCTTGAAGATCAAAGCTGAAATCACGCTCAAGGTCATTGCTAGGGTCACTTGTGGCCATAAACATTTTCCGCTCTTTCCATCCATCGAGTGAAAGATATACGATTTTTTGTTATCACATCTTCCAGTTGATTCCTAAGTGACCTTGAAGATCAAAGACGAGATCACGCTCAAGGTTATGGCTTAGCTCGTTTGTGAACATAAACATTTTCCGCTCTTTCCATCCAACGAGTAAAGATACATAATTCCTTATTATACTATTTTCCATTTAACTCCTAAGTGACCTAGAAGATCAAGGTCGAGATCACGCTCAAGGTCACGGGTAAGGTTCTTTGTGAACATAAGCATTTCCCGCTTTTTGCATCCAAGGGGTCAAAGATATACGATTCCTTATTATGATACTTTCCATTTGACTCCTAGGCGACCTTGAACATCAAAGTCGAGATCAAGCTCAAAGTGATGGCTAAGCTCACTTGTGAACATAAAAATATTTCGCTTTTTCCATCCAAGGAGTCAAAGATATACGATTCCTTATTATATTCCAGTTTACTCCTAAGTGACCTTGAGGATCAAAGTCGAGATCATGCTCAAGGTCACGGTTAAGCTCGTTTGTGAACATACAAATTTTTCGCTTTTTCCATCCAAGGATTTAAAAATAAACGATTCCTTAATATGATACTTTCCATTTGACTCCTGAGCGACCTTGAACATCAAAGTCGAGATCACGCTCAAAGTCATGGCCAAGCTCACTTGTGAAGATAAAAATTTTCTGCTTTTTCCATCCAAGGAGTCAAACATACATGATTCCTTATTATATTTTCTAGTTTACTCCTAAGGACCTTGAAGATCAAAATCGAGATCACACTAAAGGTCATTGCTAAGGTCGTTTATGAACATAAACATTTTCCGCTCTTTTCATCCAAGGAGTCAAAGATATACGATTTTTTGTTATATTTTCCAGTTGACTTCTCAGTGACCTTGAAGTTCAAAGTCGTGATCACGCTTAAGGACACGGCTAACCTCGCTTGTAAACATAAACATTTTCCGTTCTTTTCGTCCAAGGGGTCAAAGAGATACGATTCCTTATAATAACATTTTCCAGATGACCCCTAAGTGACCTAAAGAATCAAACTTGAGATCACGCTCAAGGTCACGGCTAAGGATATTTAGGAATCTCGAGTGTTCCACTATTTTCATCGATACGATTCCGCAAAAAATTTCCAAGTAAACTCATCAATGACCTTGACATTCGTTGCCAAGGTCATTCTCACAAAACAGTGCATCTTTTGTCTAGACCATTTTTTTGTTAGCAGTGTTAAGAACATCCTGTAAGTGAAAAAAGCAAGGAGAATGTCACACTATCAGCATTTATCATGGAATTTGATACTTATTAACTGTGAAGCCTGAACGTCAGTAATTATTGGTGCATAAGGCAATGTGAAAATCCACTGACATTGACGGAACGATCAGTAAATTCCCATAGTACGAACCATAGAACCTACTGATAGTGTGACACTTGCCTAAGAGATTGTAATTTAAGAAAATAACTTTAGTCATCTTAACTAATCATTTAAGAGATAGCTACTGTGTGAGCAAGGTTTAGTCGATCTCATTTGCTTCCAGCGCCTTGGTGGTAGAAAAGAATCTACTTGTTTGATTTCCCATTTACGCATTTGTTTTTCATTACGTCTATCGCCGATTGGCGCTTAATTATAAATTCTTACATTTTAAAGTTTTTTCTTTGCCTGATGTGATATTTCTGACTTACCTTGTATCCTCTTAGATTTTCTACAACGCATGCCATTAGAGCGTCTCGACCCACTGTGACGGTGACATTCGGGATTGGTTCCACAAATCTTGGAAAAGACGATTCTGTAACAAATATTCTTATCAAACTAGAGGTTATCGATATAAGACTGATTTTGTGAAGGAAATGTGTATATGTATATTTATATATATATATACAGGGTGTCCGCAAAGTTTGGGTTTTCCTTTTCAGAAACAACTACCCTTGAAATAACAAAGGTAATGTGTAGTGAAGCGAGGGCGACCAAGTAAAAAAAAATAAAGGAAAAAGTACTCACTCTCCAGTTGACGAGAAGGGCTAAGTACGTCTCTGCCCGAAATCATACCGCTCCAAAAGAAAATGAAATCAGCTGATCCGCTACCGAGCAGACGCAGGCAAACAAGGAAGGCAAAATATTGCGTAAAAAGTCTAGGTATTGCATCCCGTCCAATCGATTTGGGAGAATAAATGGTCCAATGAGCATACCGTTCACCATGCCAGCCCAAAGATTCACCGAAAATGTTTGTTGAAAATGTGCCCGACGGACAGCGTGCGGATTTTCTACTGACCAAACATGAGTGTTGCGAAAGTTATTCACCCCATTACGTGTGAACGTAGATTCGTCTGTCACCAATATGCACTTCAAAAAGTCCGGATTATTGTCATGTTGATGCAACAACCACTCACAAAACCGCACTCTTGCTGGAAAATCGTCAGGTTGAAGGGCTTGTACACGTTGGACGTGAAACGGATACAGCCCCTCTTCACGCAGCGTTTGCCACACTTTAGTTTTTGATACTTGCACTTCTCTAGCTACGTCTCTAGTGCTTGTTGAGGGATTGTCGTCTACGCGATTACCTCTACACGTGTGACCGTAACCGTCGGTTGAAGGTTGCATACTGACCTGACACACTGACTTCGACCCAGTTCTGCCGTCGGGTTGAGCCAGTGACCTTTTACCACTCGGTGATGTCGCGGGTCGCGGCTACAGGACGGTATTCAGATATTTTTGATGTTGCAGAGCCCTTTATCTCGGTTCCCTTAAGACATTGGTGTATATGGTACTAAGAAAAATTGCTTATGTTATCAAGATCTACACGTCGTGTAAAGGAATACCCCAACTTTGCGGACACCCGTATTAACCTGAAGCTTAAAAAACAGTTTCTAACTGTGGCAGCGTTCTTTGATGGCGGGATCCAAAAGTTGGTACAACGAGATGACAAATGCCTACGTTGAAAAATGATAAAAGGGTCCTGCCACAATAAAGGGAATCTAACAAACGTGACTAAAAAAAAATCGTGTTGGAATATTTATTCTACAGATGCGAAGTTTTCGCGATGTCTATATTTGTCGTACGTCACTGTAGAGTTGAACCCTGACTATAGAGAAAAGAGACGACCGGCGACCAGCGCCTCCGACCGAAGTCCTTTTGTCATACTTTTGTTCTGGCTTGTTGGAGAGTCGCTGAGCGCACGTAACGATGATAAGTGAATTACCTGTTTCCTGTGCTGTTTCCTGTTTCCCCTTTTTGCTTTTCGTGTTTACAGAAACACCGCGCCGCTTTGTACACCGGCCGATATGAATCTTGAAAGAACAAGGGGATTGTTCCTTTGATTAATGTCACACGCTTTTCTCTAGACTGAATCCAAATTCAAGACGAGATGTAAATAATAACAGTTAGTTCGTGATCTCTCGGTAACAGGTGGGAACAACGCCTTGGATTAAATTTCAAGCGGTCGCCTGGCGGAATAGTGCGCGGGGCAGGGGCAGGGCAGGCAGAGTTGCATTCAGGCCACCGACCGTCGCGTGTATCACTGCGTGCACGTGTTTTCGTATTCACCTCGCGTGGTGAAAGCAGGAATCCACAGTTTTTTGTTGAAGGACATGTGCATCACACTGTTGGAGTTATGGTTTGGGGTGCTACAGCTTATGGTTCCAGGTCACGTTTAATCTTCATCAGAGGTAACATGAACGCGCAGCGTTATATCCAAGAAGTTCTAGAACCCCGTCTTTTACCCTATCTTGACACCCTGGCAGATCCAACTTTCCAACAAGATAATGCCCGACTACATGTTGCAAGAGTCACAATAGACTTCTTTCAACATAATGATGTCACATTGTTACCATGGCCACCAAGATCTCCCGACTTATCCCCAATTGAGCACGTGTGGGATATGATGGGACAGTACGTCGACTAACACCACACACAGTCTAGAATTTGCGGGTACTTAACGTAGGATCTACATAAACTTGCCAAAAAACTCCCACTTCTATTGCTTCGTTCCTTATGGAATTTTCATGTTACGTTCTTTATTGGCGACTGAACCAGCTTCCCGAAATTTAGCTACAAGTTCTGGTACATATTTTCGATGCACGTTACTGTCCTCATGTCGCTCATTAAATATTTATTATTAGCACACTGATTATTTCCTAAAAATATTTCGATAATTTCATCTCTTTCTGCTGTGGAAATACCATGGTTAGTTTATGTAATAAAGCGTTACAAGTTATTTTAGCAACAAAGTTTGGTCACATCAATCGCAAACTATGTACTAAATTTCTATTTAAAATAAGTACGAGATATTTCCTTATCTTTCTTCAAGAAATAACTTTTTTGCCACAAAAAACGCTCCAATAGCTATTTTCAACAACAAAATGATAAACAAACCATGGGCGTAGTGAAGAAAAGCATTTACTTATTAAGTAAATTCTGTTAGTCAAATTTCTTCTGAAACTAATCTGATGTACCTATTAAAGTCTACTTTAAGCTTTAAATCAATAAATCTTCAAAACTACTGAACTGAAGCTCATGTATTTTACATCATTATAAAGGGAATTGAAAGACGTTTAAAATAAGGTATCACTCGACCCCCCTTTCCATTTAAGATTTTACGGTTGGTGTTACCCCCGCCCAGGGAGATGCACGTGTTAACGTGATTTTTTGCCAAACTTGTGTCCCCCTCGAAAACAAAATCGTCGGGTCTGAGCGTATGTAAAGTTAATGTTTTAAGCCCTAAAGAAGCAAATAATTCTTTCTGAAGCATCTGCAACGTTATAACACGCGACTGTGTTTCTTCAAATCCAATATCGAAGAAATTATTACAAAACGTTGCGTAATATTTTTAGATATCATACATCATCGAATCTCCACACTCCGAAAACCTGCACGCTTCCATGGAAAACAAATCCATTCTGTCCTGCTGCCAACCCGTCATTCGTTTCAAATATCGTGATTTCGTTCGTTGCTGATGAAAACGTACAGATGTGAAATTGAAATTTAGTTATGTTCAAACTGACATAGATTATTGACGTTAAACATACAGCTTTTGTATTTAATCCACGTGACACGTGCTATTCCCAGGCGTTCGATTACAGTTGCCTGGACTTCATCGGGAAACTGACATGTTGCAAAATAATATTTTTTAGGAGTGCGTTGAAAATGAGCTTCGATGAGTAAATTTTGTGATTCTGGATGGATGGTCCCGACAAGGTTCGACTCGTTGCCGCTTTCCCAAATAGTGAGACTCGTCTTCCATTTCATGGCTCTTAAAAAAGCTTTGGTGTGTGACTAACTTCCTGCCTTAAGATTTCGGTCTTAATTGACAGGTTCTCATCTTCATCCCACAGTCTAATCGCAGGTGTTCCCCAGAGAGGGGCCTTAGTACCAGCATTGTTCCTGTTGCTTCACTAAAGCCTTCTATTGCGTCAATCACGGATTTATTTTGAGACAACTGATCTGCCATATCTTCTCCCCATGCATGCAGACATCAATCAGTAGAGTAGAGAACTTCTAAAATTAATGCATAAAGTCTATATAAACATGGGTCGAAAAATGTGTGGCTTCCGAAATACAGGGTGTTTAAATTTACTTTCTAAAAATAGTTTTTTTTAAATATTTCGAACAATATTTGATGTATAATAGTGAAAATTAGTATACAAGGGTTTTTTGGTACGACAAAACGAACAATGGGCATAGTTTTACTGTAGCCGCTAGAGGGCGCTCTCTACTGTACCTATAGTGTATTAAAATGACCGAAAAATTTTTCTTAGTGCAATTTTTTGCTTTTTGAATAAAGAAACTAATTCTTCGCAATTTTCAACATAAAAAAGCTCTCTTGTGAATTTCCGTTATAGTTAGCCGTTTTTGAGATATTTCAATTTTTAAGGTTCGATGCATTTTTAATTATTTATGATAAAATAACGTTAAAAAGTCAGTATCTCGATAACTTTTAGAAGTAGGCTGTGCCTGCAAATATTTTTGAAATTGAAAGCAGAATAAGGTTAAACGTCAATTAGTTGACAG